ATTGCATTGCTGCTCCAGTGTATGACATGGCCACGTAATTTCTTTTGAATCTTTTCCTAAATCTTGGCACTTTCTCCCCAATTCCTTACAGTCTTTATCTGTCGGAAAATCTCGCTTTTGATCCAGTTGTTGTCGTAAAAAGATAACCCTCATTTGATGATCGTGTGTAAGTAATCGTGCAGCTTTTGCTGGCTGTACACACAGAACAAATATTTCATCATTTGGGAAACTTCCTTTATTTTCTTTTAGTTCCTTGCATACTTTTACTAATCTTTGTTGAAACTCCTTAAGCCAACTTTGATTTGAACCACGTAATAACCCACGCATATTTTCTTGCAGTACTTTATTTGCCCGTGCATCAAGCCCTCTCTTATAACACGCTGCCCACAGATTCATACAAGCTTCTTTGACATCTGGACATCTTTCTTTAAAATAAAAGCAGTAAGATTCTAGTCTTGCACACTCTTCATTACTAAGAAATGTCGGCAATTTCCACCATTCAATAATTTCGCCATTTGGATCATAAAGATGATTTCTAAGAATCGTTGGTTTGAGGTTTGTGCACGTTTTTTTAATATCATTCTCTAAATCTTTGCATTTTTCTGTTCCATCATTACTTATATTATTTCCCTCACATAGTTTTTCCAAGGCCTCATGTTCATGAGAGTTTTTGCATTTGTCTGCAAGAGCTTCTTCGCATTTCTCTTTGTCCTCTTTTTTTTTAAGATTAGAATCTTGGATCAACAACGCCAACAAAGTCGTTGCATCTCTTAGATGATTCTTTCCAATAAAAATTCCATCCTTCTCAGCCTCTTTATAAAGCTCTTCCAGTCCTATGTCCTCTGCTACTGTAGGCTCTGGCTTAGTTGGATCGAAATCGGGTCCTGGATGTATATAAATGACGCCTTTTTTTCCACATTCTTCTGCCAATTCATCACACTTTGGTAGATATTCCTCACAGTTTCCATTTGGAAGTTTGCATTGTGATGCATCTTTTTTGCAGTCCCCTCTGTGAAAGTAACATTGCTCAAGTAATGGTAGACATTTTTCTCGTAATTCACTGTTTTTTTTAAGTGCTTCTTTAACTTCCTGTTCAAGGCTATTACATTTTTTTTGTTTTTCTGATACAAATGTTTTACATGTCATTTTTTGGTAAAGACAAAGCTTCGTTAACTCATCACTTTCTTGACTCAACTTTATGCAAACCTCTTTGAGCTTTCCTTCACATGTAGTTTCATTGGTTAGACCTCCACGAACTGCTCTTAAAAGAGCTTCTTCCGCCACTTTATCACGCTTCTTTTGATAGCACTTATTTCTTAAAGTATTGCAGTTATTTTTAAGTTTTGTTGGACATGCTCCCTCCAAAAATAGGCATTGTTGTTCATTTGCACAATCTGTATCTTCCAAATTTTTAATGTTTTTCTTAACAGCTGTTTGAAGTTTTCCTTGAAATTCAGTGCATTTTTGATTGACTTTGCCTTCCAAATTTTTGCATTTTTCTCCTGCTTTTCCATTTTTACAAAAAGTTTTAAGTTTTTCATATACGTCTTCCGCTTTTATTGTTGCATTATTTAGTGCTTCGCAGTATTTGTCTAATTTTTCTTTGCATTTCTTATCATCTTTAGCATCTTCTTTTGCAATTAAAGCCAAAAGATAAATTTCCTCATCATTTGTTCCTGCTCCCTGTGTTTGTACCTGCCGCTTAACCGCCCGCGCCACCGCCCGCGCCAAGCTGTGCCTGACGGGGGTGGGCTGCGCTGTGGTGTGTGGTTTGAGTTTGGGTTTCCATTAGCGTATTTTGATTGAACGTGAGATGTTAGAGCCATGTCTTCAAATTTGAATTATTCTTAATTAATTTTAAGGGTGTTCAAGTAAATTCAGTGACAACTTGTCAGACAAGCAATGTGTGCAGAATATATCTTTAGTGTGTTCATACAATATTGTGATACATGCTTTACTACACGTATTTAAATTTGTGTGGGGTAAATGCGGGGTAAATGTGGGGTAATAGTAAAATTTGAATAAATAAAAAGTAGAATGTAAAAGGACATAAATGAGAAATAAAGGTTATTTAGATAAAGAATAGTGGTCAATTAAATAAGGAACACGCGATTTCATGTGTAATGCACTTTCAATTGATGCTGAAGAGATGACTCAATCTACTTTACTCTTTCCTGTCCTACCCTGCTCGTTTATTTACTAAATATACATGCTCATCATTAAATTTTGCTCATTTGCTTTCTAAATCATGAACGAAATCATCATTGCTAATATCACCCCCCTCATCACGCTCCACCCACTCATCTTCAATCCCTCACTCGGCTTCACGTCCTCTGCATCATCCCCTGTCGTACACTTGGTTGGTTTGCAACGCCTTGTTGATGTGAGTGTTATTTTTGATGTGATTGTAGATGTGATGGTAGACGTGCTGGTATGTGTCGAAGTCTGTGTAATCCATGTATCTGTTGTCTGTAAAGATTTGCATTCTGTTGCCTTCGGATCGGTAACGGTCGTTGTTGTCGTCGTGGTCGTCGTTGTGCTTTCTGTCACTGTTTCGTGCGGCTTCACTTTCAGTGGTTTTAATTTCGAACATACTCCTTGTATCTTTCCACATACTCCTTCTAAATCCTTGCAATCCTCCTTAACTCTGCAATCTGATTCCAATTTATTACATCTTTCTTTCAAGTCTAGATATCTTCCAAATACTTCTGCTACCAAATCAAATGCCTTAGCTTCAGATTCTGTTACGGATACATCCTTAACTCCTCTCCGTAGTATTTTCATATGTTCTGTGGTATCTTGAAGTCCGTTTGAAACGGTATTTTTATCCTTGTTTTTGCTACTATTTTTCGATGCATTATTTTCATCTTTTTTAACGAATGATAAAACAAGATTGGACTTGTTCATTGCTTCCTTTGCCTGTTTCTTAAGTTTCTCATATGTCTTAGAATCTTCTTCTAACTCTTTTGCTGGTTGTTCTAATTCTGTTGATAATGTTTTACATTGTTCTTTCACTTCTTCCACTAACTTCTCACAGAGTTCCTCTCTAACTTTATTGTCATCTTTTTTAGGTTTTTTATCAGTAGTATCTTTACATAATCCTTTAATTGGCGTATTAGCTGCATTTTTTAATACTTCACAATATCTTTTTAATGCAGGTTCACATTTAGATTTATCACTTAAATTCCCTTGAAGCTCTACTTTGAGAGCATCTTCCAAGGCCTTTCTTTCATAAAATGGCTTACAATGATCTTTGATCTTTGTACAAAGAGTATCTCCTTTAGTAAGATCTGGACAATTAGGTGAAAATCTATTGCAGTACGTATGCCAGGAGGGACAGTTTCTTTCCAGTGTTGTTATGTTATTCGTGTTATTTTTAAGA